CTTCCCCCATCTATCAGAGGCATTGGAAACTACTTGGGTGGGAAATTGTTGCCTAATTTAGCTCAGAGGTTTCCTAGAGACATGAGGTTCTCTTACGTGCCGTAAATCTACGACACAGGACACATGGCTTAAAGTCCCTCCCGAAGGACTTGTTCCCTGAATTTTTCCGCCCTTAAAATTTCCACGACCTCCGCTGGGTTTGAACCTGCGTACCTTGAGTCATGAGGTGGAAACGTTACCCCTAGACTACAAAGGCCGCTGTTGTAATATGTAAGTTCAATTCATTTTAATTCATTCACTTTACCTGAAGATTTAAATTAATTTTCTGTACATATTTTGAGCGCTTACCCCGATTCTGACGATACTTGATGTGTAACACTTCTGTAATGTGAATATAACCATGTAAATTTCATTGACTTTAATTAATTTTAAGAGCCACTTTACTTGACAACCTAATTCAACTTTTGCATTTGTCATTTTAGTTCTTTGATAAATTTGCTCTTATGTTAAATTTATAGTATCATGTATAGGTTCAGTTTTGAGGCCCAGAATGATCTTCTGCATAAATCTTTTGAGCTATTCAGCAGATTTTAATGAAACTTGATACACTAAAGTCCCACTTATCCTGTATCCAAGTGTGCAGAATTCTGTTACAGAGTTACTTCAAATCAGAGTTATAATGTGCATATCTTTACATGCAATCAGTAGTTCTCTCAGCTGTCTATTATCCTCCTTCATGCAGGTGTCATTACAGTCATAGTGATGCTTGATTACGGTAGAAGCTAATTAAATTCTTTATCCAGAATCTTTCATCCAACTATCCGTTATGTCACCTAAGAAGGCTTCCACACCAGAACCACCTGTAAAGTAAACATGTTTTGTTTTGATTTTGAAGCAGACTAGAAAAGGTGAAAATTGTGTGGAAATTGGGTTCGTTCAGAGTCTTCTCATGACATGCCAGATAATTGGATTTTACTGTAGATGGCACTTCTGTTATAAGAACCATGTGAGATTTTAATTCACTCTAAATTGTTATAAGGCCTATGTTCTTTGTGTGACTCACTACATTTTTGGATGCATCTCAGTAAATATTCCCTTCAGAGAAAAATGTCGTGAATGAAAGTTAGAGGAATCTGCAAATACACTCAACTCTCGATTATCCAGGGGTGGATTAACCGGTTTGTGGCTTAACCAGGGCTTTTTTGAGGCTTATGTGTTGTTTAATATTCATTCACTTTTGTTTCACATGGTGAGTTGTAACACTATTTTCGCACTAGTGTGAACCGAGCTCAGCATTTTTTGGTCCCGTTATACTAACACAGTGTTCTAGGGTAGGGGTGAAAGAATGCAAGGATTTGTGGAAAGTTTCAAGGACAGATATACCACCCCAATTAGTCTCTTTGTGTCGATCTTCAAGTGCGTTAGCAAAATGTCATGGTGTAAAAGGAAGTGTGTTGTGGTAAGTATTAAACAGTAACTCGTGCAAGCCGGGCTTCGAAATGTTAAGCAGTGACGAAATCGTAAGTTAAGTGGGGTTGCAGTCAGAAGAGCAGGAAGAAAGTGAGAATGAGAAAGAGGTGGACAGTGCTGCTAGTAAGAAAGTATCACATGGTGCTGCTCTTAATCATTTGGAATCCTTACTAGACTATCTTGAGAGTGAAGAGAACAGTTTATTAAGTGACAAGCTAATATTACGTAGGCTTCGTACGGATATCCATAAAAAGGAAAATTCCGCGAAAAAGCAAACGACAGTATTAAATTTTTTAAATGTTAAGTGTGAATATTCTTAAAAAAATGTTGGATGTTGTTGAACACTGTGATTGAAATAACTAATTCATACTTCAGTGTAATGTAGAAAAAGTGTTAAATAGGCCATGAGATGACATAAAAATGAGGTTGAATAAATTTAAATACAGGTAGGCCTATAGTATTATGAAGGTACAGTATTACAGTACTACTTTTAATAAAATTTGTCTTAACCAGGTTTTCGATTAATCGTGATTTCCATCCCCACCATTATCCCGGATAATCGAGAGTTGAGTGTATTAGGTTTTCTGCAGCAGTTTTTTTAGCATTACATTGCATTGTATTCCATGGATCCGAAGGTAGTCAAAATGACTGTAGGATGTTGAATATGTCATATAAATACAAAACATATGTACAGACCCAATGGAGTTCTCACACAAGAGAAACCAAGAATACACAGTGACTACACACTAGGCTATTTAAAGATACATAAGTTATTTTCTNGCAAATTATTCCCTACTTCATTAAAGAGTGAAAATAAGCAAAATAGATTGATTTGAGAGTGTTAGTGTTACTAATATGTAACATGAATCTAACTGCATAACATGCTCTACTTAACTTTGGAATCAACTGATCGATATGGTTTTTCCAGTTTAAATGATAATCAATTTGCAAGCCAAGGAATTTTGTGGTTACTCCCTTTTCTATATATTTATCATTATATCCTATGTTTAATGGATATTGTGGTAAGTTTTTTGTTATAAATTTTATTACTTTTGTTTTTTCTAGGTTTATTGACAGCTTGTTTGCAGAAAACTATTTACTCATTTGCAAAATAACCTTGGTTAATAACATGCAGAAATCATATAAATTTTTACCAGAAATTATAACACTAGTGTCATCTGCAAATATTGTAGGTATTGATGAGGTCCTTAATGTAGGAGGGAGGTCGTTTATATAAATTATGAAAAGCAAAGGCCCAAAAATTGACTCCTGTGGAACTCCATGTTTTATTATTCCCCACTTTGAGTAGGTACTTTGGATTGAATTTGATGATTTTATTTCAATCTTTTGTTTTCTATCTGTTAGGTAGGTTCTGAACCAACTTAACGTTATTCCTTGAATGCCAAAAAAATGTAATTTAGTTAATAAAATTTCATGATTTACACAGTCAAAAGCCTTTGCTAAGCCACAGAATATTCCATGAACATGCATTTTTTGATTAATAGAGTTCAACACACTGTCTGTTAACTTAAAGGCTGCATTTTCAATAGAAATTCCTTTCCTAAAGCCAAACTGTTTTGGGACTAGTATATCGTTACTCTGAAAATAATGGCTTAACCTATTGTGCATAACTTTTTCAAGTACTTTAGAGAAAGTAGTTAGCAGTGAAATTGGCCTGTAGTTTGACATACTAGTCTTTTCTCCTTTTTTATATAGTGGTCTTACTACTGAAATCTTAAGACGATCAGGAAAGATTCCTGTGGATAGTGAGTGATTACAAATGTGAGTTAATGGGCTACTGATTAAAGATGCACAGACTTTTAAAATTTTACTTGTTATTCCATAATAACCTGAAGAGTTTCTTGTTTTGAAGGAATGTATTATACTTTGTATTTCAGTTTCAGTGGTTGGAATGGTTTTAATACCAGGGAATGTTCTAGGAAATGCCTCTCTTAAAAATGAAATGACATTATAACCCATTTCCTGATGCAAGTTTAGATTTTCTGTAATGTTAGAAAAAAAGTATTGAAGGCGTTGCAATTTCTCCTTGGTCCTCAACGTTTTAATCATTTATAAGGAGAGATGGTATCTGTTCAGTCAGATGTGATGAAAGCTGGTGATTGCAAGAAAATTAAAAGTATGAGAACACTATGCATTATATGAGCCCATTGAAAGGAGTGTCGAATCTCCTGCTATCACATTTCCATCTCTGCATATACTAGACAGAAGACACATTATGGATGAATGAAATGCACCTCTCTAATGGCGTATGTAAGGGGTGTATTTGTCCATTCTTGTTTTTGTTTTGGATTTCTTATGCATTTGAATTTTTACTTCACAAGATTCATTAAGAGTTTTTATGATATGAAATATATATATATATATNTGCAAATTGCATTATTGTTCATATCTGCATACTTGGTTCACCCCCGTCCTACAGATTTCTGTCTTCACTGTATTCACAATGCTGTTTACAGAATTTTGTTATGTCATTGAAAATGAATGTCAGAATAGCACACAACTGATTTAGTCTTTTCTGATTATCGTAGACTTTCACTGGATATATTCTGATGTGTTATGTAGTATGGCGATTGACAGAATTATAAAATAACCAACAAAGAATATGAGACAGTGTATACTTGTGTAAATTTGACTCTTCAGTTTCATTTTTTAAATACAACTGAAAATATCAACATAATTATAGTTGCTATTGTTATTTTTTCAATTTAGTATTAAACAATTTTAGTTCACGCACTAGCATAGTTAGTTGAGGAACTATGCTACAAGCTGGAAGGTTGTGGGATTGAATCCTGCTGAGGGGGATTTTTTTCAGTTTACCTAATCCTTCCAGCCACACTATGGCCCTGGGGTCAACTCAGCCTCTAACAGAAATGAGTACCAGGAATATTCTTGGAGGGTAAAGGGCAGCTAGTGCATAAGGCTGAGCCCCTTACCGCCATCTATGAGTCGATTGTCTAGAAAATGTGGGAACCTCAACATCTCACAACCCTATGGGCCTCCACGGCCTGTTACAGGGATAGCTTTAGCTTTTTTTTACTTACAGTTTTAGAGCACACAGTTCACACAATGAAAAAGTGCTCGGCTCTCCAAACAGAATTACAGCCCTTGCGTGTGGCTGAATGCTCTGCTGATCTAGACTGGAATAATTACTCCCCTGACTTGGAATATAAACCAGAAATGGACATCTTTCCACCAGGTAAAATGGTGAACTTTAGGGTGGCTTCCATTGCTGAATTGGTGTTAGTGTTGTATTCATAACATTCGGAATACTGCATTTTCAGTACATTATGACACAATAGACTTGCTAGATGGCATCATTAACTATACAGCACGCCTTTGTCGGTCATAGATTTCATATCACATGAAGTTCCTAAATTTGGGCTCAAGCACACTGTTATTGATTCAGTGAAATTTCCCTCCACATCATCAGAATATAGTAATTATATTTTACCATTAGCTGCAACATGGAAAGCTATGGACACAGTCTTTTGCTGTATTCATATGTTCACTTAGAATTACCATAATGCCATCCCTTCTGTAATTCAGACATAATTTTTCACTAAATATAATATTGTCTAATTAAAATTTTGTCTGTGTTTGTCTCTCATTGTGTGTGGTGGCACAAGAAAATCATGATCAATAACAAACATTAAGCTATTTAGCTTGAGTGAACTTCACCTCTGACCAAGCTGTGATTTACACATTTATTCTTCTCTTCTTCACTCTCTGCTTTTCTTAGTTGGCACAGTATAGACTGTAGGCACTATAGATGGGGTTTGGATTGGAATTGGATTTATTGGACTCTTACACAACTTATGACTGCAATTAATTATAACACTATCACTAATTCACACTCTTTACAATTCACTACAGAACACACTAAGTCTTCTCAGTCTTCTGTGCCTTCATCAGTCATTGCTTGGTAGCTGCTCTCAACACCATAGATTCCTCTGATTCTGCCCTTGCTGGCTGGTGCCTATCTCACAACCAGCTGTCATTAAGATAAATGTGCATTTTTTAATATACTAAAAATACTGCTTTAAACTTTAAACCCCAATGGTTGGTGTTTATTTTATTTCTGTGACTCTTGTTGCACATTTTCTCCTATGATTGATTGTATTCATAAGTGTCTAATAGAATTTGCAACATCACTTCCAAATTGTTTTTGTTGCTGTATGTGCAATAGTAGGAACTGCATAGTGACATGCCATGGAGAAGGAAAAATTCAGCCATTTGTTGTCCTTCATGTGCTGCATTCTGTGAATGGGAGAATGATACAGATACACATATATATTGCAATGAGGACTTTAATAAACCTTCATGAAATTCAATAAATAAAGCAAATTGTAGAAATAAAATGCTTCCTGCTCCTTGGCTCATCAGTCTTATAAAATTCTTGACTTTCTTTAAGACAGATTGACATTCTTCTTTATTATTTGCCTTCTGCATCCGTTTCTTCCCTTTTGCTTCCAAGAAATCATTCTTTATATCATCTAGCCATGTCACTGAAGGCCTTTCACTTTTCTCCTACCTTCTGGCTTACATTCAAGAGTTTTCTTAGGCACCCATAGTTGATCCATCTTAATCACATGCCTGTTCCATCTCCATGCTTCTCCTTTGCCAAATCAGGGATGTCAAAATAAAATATGTACATGTATCCATAATCCAAATAATTTTCTTTCATATAATTAATGGTATACTTTTTATATTTGGTTACAGACATGTAGAGTATATTTGATTAGAATTTTCATCATTACTATCACATAACCATTTGAAATGTAGTATGTGTATAAGAAATTATACAAAGTTGAAACCTCGTGAGGTTGGATAGACTTGAAAGGATTCTGACGATGGCGTATACTATACTTCTTTCGGATTATTTTGGACTTCCAGGTCCAGTGATTGAGACTAGCTCTTTCTAAGGGGCCCAACTGAGTAGGTTTATCCTTCCCTATCCACCTGAAGACGGAGACAGATCCAGTCTCTGAAACATCGTGGTTTTTTTTCTTTTTATCTTTTACATACCAGACGATGAGTGAAGTCCAAAATAAGCCAAAAGAAGTACTCGTGAGGTTGGCTTAACAGTGACATCTTATTATGGTAGATGTTAGTTATGCAGCAGCTTCGTAAACATCTGTTATTGAACTGTATTTGTTTCAGCTCTGACATTCAAGAAAATGTTTGGAGCAAGCCTACTGGAACAACAACTGAGAGCCTTGTTTACAAAGCGAGTTATATTCACATGCAGGAAGTGGTTAACGTTCCTCTTACAGGTAAGGGAGTAATACAGAAAATTTCCGTGGATTTTTTCACTGCAGACAGTTTCTAGAAGGCCAAGACATAACATAATCAAAATTATATTGCTTCCAAATATTAATACTTCTGACATTACTAATTGTGAGAAGTTATGAGATATACATTATATAATTTAAAACATTCATTGCCTGACTTTTAAGTGCAGACTTTGTTTCAAATACCAGAGTTTAAAGCCCAGTTGTGGGGTTTTATACTGTTTGAAGAAAAAAATTAAAACCCTACATTGCCTTGAGGTTATGATGCCAAGTGCAGCAGCCCCCAAGATAGAGAAAAGCCCCACACAGAGTACATAGAGTCTTGATGTTCTTTTTGAGACATGTATTGCAATGTTACATCAGGTATGTAAGATTTGAGGCTTTACATCAGGTATTTTATCTCCTTTGGTGTCAGAATTTTGAATGATTTTGTGGTTATTCATTTTACTGGCCAGTCAACATTCCTTCTTAGGTATCTGTTTTGGTGGTATGGGAGTGACTTCTTGTTGAGACAGACCCCTCAGTGGATGAAGAAATTATGTCATAGACACCATGGATTGTGTCTCATTGATGTCAGTTATGTAGTTGAGAACTATTTTCTTTGACATTCTGCTGAGTTTGGAATAGTTGATAAAAGAATTTATAAGAGCGCACTGCAGAAAATAAAAGAACACTTTCTCTGGCCACTTCACTTTTCTTATTATGTGGTAATACAGAAGGTACTGACCAGCAGGGATCACACCAGCTCTATAGGTATGATACTGATGCATTTGGCCTCACCTTTGAAGCTGAATTTTGTTTGGTCATTTACATGCAGTTTATGCCATGTGGGCAGTTGCCTGACCCAAAAGAAGCCTCAGGACAGAAAAACACTGAAGGACAGTGTGAAATATTCCGTTAAGTTGATTAGTATAGATTGTTTTACAGTCTCATATATTTTAATATAGTTAATAAATATTAATGTATCTTATTACAACTCTTTTTATATGGTTTATATTGACAATTTTAGGCATATTATAACTATTTTTCTTTTGTTTTTTTTTAGGCTCTAATCCCTATTGTGATGACTTTTCTCACAGTAATTCTTACTGCTAATACTGGAGGAACATCAGAACCTGCTCGTGTAATAAATTTGAATGATTATGGAGCAACAAATGTATTATACTCTGTAAATGAAAGTCCGGTAGGCTGGAATGATACATATGAAGAGTTGGTAAAATTAACTGGCTCCAGTGTGATGGAAGTTGAAGATGTGTGTGCATCACTGCTACTTGCCGGAGAGTCAGATATGCAGAAATACCGTACAGAGTTTATCATTGCAGCAGAATTCAATTCATCATCATCAGGAGCTGGGATGTTAAATGCAATGTTCTCATCTACAGCTATTCACAGTGCTCCCATCTCTCTAAATGTATTGACTAATGCTGTCTTGAAAACAAATTCTAAAGAAAAATCTATTACAGCCATCAATCATCCTCTTCCCAGTAGAGAGGTGAGTGTGTTAAGAGTACGGCTTAGTATAAAACCATATTTTGGAGTACACAGAGAGAGAGAGAGAGAGAATTAGTGTGTGTGTGCGTGTGCGTGCGTGCGTGCGTGCTCGCATGCATGCTAGCCTTTAAAATTTGGGCCACAATTCATGTAATTTTCCTTTAAGAAATAATATGGGAAGATAATTGTATGTCTAATGAATGCAATTTTTTATGAAATTACTTAGAACTGCATATTTTAGTGAAATGTTCTGTATCTGAATACATACATTGGAATGAAATGCATGTTTAATGATTATGTTCCAGCATGTGTCAGGTGAAGGCTTTGTAAGACAAATAGGTGTTATGGTATTATGGATGACTCTGATGCCATTTGGTTTGCTGTTTCTGACGGGAAGCTTTATGACATTCCCTTTGCTAGAAAGGGTGTCAAAAGCTAAGCAGCTGCAGTTGATGACCGGAACCTCTCCACTCGCATACTGGTTCACCTGTTTTGCGTGGGACCTTTTGTTGTACATGATAGTAGCCATCATCATGATGTTTGTAGTGTTAATTGCTGACCCGCTGAATGTGTTCAATGGATCTGAAGAACTTGGTATGTACTTTATGCATGCAGCCTTTACTGCCAACAAAATATCGGAGTAGAGATGTATTGACTGTGTAATGTAGCAATAGAAACTGCTGTGTTTCAGTGTCCATCACAGTCTGTACTTTACCTGTATGTTGATATCAGCATGGGCACTTTTCTCATACACTGTTAAAAAGTGTTGTCCAATTTCTTTAACACTCGTAAGATATGCCAACACATCTTTATAATTAAAATTACAAGGAGCGTTTCGTATATAATGCCTCCTACTTTTTTTAATGAAAACTACAATAGATACAGAAAGCATAACTGTGCAGTTAAATAGAGCAAGATTTCAGCTACTTACAGTTATTTTTCCACATAATCACCATCATTCGTTATGCACTTTTGCCAGCAATGAACAAGAGCCTGTATGCCGCGCCCATAAAAGTCTATGCCAGCAGAGGCTAGCCACTTTCTTACAGCTGCAATGACAGCATTGTTGTCTGGAAACTGTTGTCCACATAGTCCATCTTCCATAGGCCCAAAAATATGGAAGTCTGAAGGTGCTAAATTGGGGCTATAAGGTGGATGTGGTAGGACAGTCCAGCCAAACTTTGCAATTTGTGTGGTGGTCGCCAAACTGTTATGGGGTCTAGAGTTATCGTGTTGCAAATGAAAGGTTGTCTGCTTCTCTGGCCTGACTTGGGAAATGCGGGCTTTCAGCTTAGTCAGCATCGTCTTGTAGTGTTCAGAATTGACAGTCTCAGCAGACTCCAGGAAATCCAAGAAAATCACACCCTGCCTATCCCAGAAGACCATGCACAGCACTTTCCCTGCCAATGGCTGTGTCATGAACTTCTTTTTTCTTGGGGAATCCAGATGTCACCACTCCATGGACTGTCTTTCGGGTTACGGCTCATAGTGGTGACATCACGTCTCATGTCCGGTGACTTTGCTGTCCAGAAACTTGTCACCTTCAGCCTCAAACTGGTGCAACAGGTCCTGACAGACTTCCATTCAATGAATTTTGTGGTCCTGTGTCAGCATCCGCCAGACCCACCCGGAACAAACTTTGCGATAATCCAGCTTCCCCAATATTGTTTCCACTGCATTACAGCCAATATTAAGCCATGCACACAGTTCCCTGGTCGTTATCCGCCAATTTATATGGATGAGCTGATCGAGGTGCTGTTCATCATGAGGAGTGGCAGCTGAGCAGGAACGCCCAGGGTGTGGCTTGTCATGCACTTTACTTTTGCCACTGTTGAAATGCACTACCCACCGGGTCACTGTGCTGACATCCACTGTATCATCTCCGTACACCTTTAGCAAGTGTCGATGGCTGTCAGTGGGTGCAATTTTTTCGGCAGTGAGAAATTCAATAACACATCTCTGTTTCGTACGCAATTCTATGTCAGACGCCATTTTGGTAGACTGCTCTGCTGTAGCTATCTGTCACACGACAACCAAACTAACAGTACATTGGCAGGAAGGTTCAACCTTTACTACAACACCACCAACATCCAGCTCAGACGTTACATATTAACACAAAAAAATAGGAGGCATTATATACAGAACCACCTTCGTATATTGTGTATCTGAAAGAGGAAATTTGCTGCTGAAACTATTGGAAAGCAGAAAATTAACATTGAATATTTATGGGTAACATGCAGACCTGATGGGGTCCACATTTTGTGTTCCAAACTTTTTCTTGATCCACAATATATTGTCATTAATTATACCAGCCATTAGGAAGTCTGATACCATAAAATGGTCTTCACATTTCTGATTCTCAGATGTTTTTGTCTCTTTATATCCTGTCAGCTTTGATTAAAAATGCTATACATAAATGAGACAAAACTTTCCTTCTGCAGCTTTTTTTTTGTGTGCGCGTGCGTGCGTGTGTAAATTGCTGTTTGTTAAATGTTGGACATAACACAGGCCAGCCCAAGAAGTGCAGAGGGTCACTTGGATTTATCCCAACTCTGAGAGTCACACTTGAACTGATCACAACCATGAAGTATTCCTGCATGCTAGTGATTCATCCTGATTAATGCCAAATATTATCTTACTTATGTAAAAATAAGTATATCTAGTAAAACAGTAGTTTCTCCATGAAATTTGTTAGTGCATATTTTGTGTTCACTATTTAACGTGTATTTTCAAATTTGTATCTCTTTTCCCTGATTTCCTGTAAATTCTATTATTTCTGTATTATTTTTCTAGGTACATATTTCTTGCTGTTGATGATGTATGGTTTGAGTGCAATTCCATTTGCATACTTATTCAGTCACTTTAGGAACACATCTGCAGGAGCTTTTTCTTTACTTGTCGTGCTCAATGTGTTGGTTGGTAAGTAACATAATTCGTAGTAATATAAATTCTTAACAAGTTAAACCAACTTAAAATTAAATGGTTTTGGGAAAAGACATCATGTGTCAGATTTTAGGTTCTAACAGAGTGACTAGGAAGACTTCTGTCTTCTGGAATATAAGGCCATATACTCCAGTGAATACTAACAAGCACTTCAGAGACATATCACCTTAATTATCGGGGTTGAAGAGTTGGCCAGACAAGAACCCAGCATGAAGTGGGCTGTAAGCGGAGCTCTACTTTCTGCTTTTTTCATGCTGTTTTCTTGTTTGGCTTACTCTTCAGCTCTGAAGATGTAGGCAATATGCTTCCCTGAAATGTTTTTTGGCTTTCACCAGAGTACACATAATTATATCTGAGAAGATTTCATATCACCATTCTGTTGTATAATGAAAATCCATTATGTATTATATACATAGAATCAATGTTATATTTTAGCGTCCTGTTGCACTGATTTAAGTCCATGATTTATTTTATCCGTCTTCTAGTGCATACATTTATTTATCCCCTCTTTTCACTCTCACTACATGTTTCGGCACCAATGTGCCATCTTCAGGTGCTGATCCAATCCACGACAAACTAATTCATTGCATGCCTTGTCTTTACATACTAAAATAACTAAAATATATATTTATCATATATACTGACAAATGTCAAGTGTTAAAATACTAAAACTGTACAGCATATTTCTTTCCTACGTCGTGTTTCATTACGCGAGTCACGTCTATCATCCTCTGTTGGAGCACTCTCTCTTTCACTATCGTGTATTGTGCTCTGTGTTGCGTCTCGCTCCTGTGACTGCGTGTGTTATACTGCTGGACCTGCTGGGTATGTGTGTGTGTGTGCTGTCTTCGTTTTGAACTCACTCAAAACGAAGACAGCACATATAAAAAAAAGCAGAAAGCAGAAATTTTAATAATTGAAGTTTCATTAGAAAATTACTGTGTTGCCTTCTTGTCACTCTGTGTAATTTTAAACTGTAACACTTTTTCAGATGCATATTAACAACATGCAAAGACGTTGGAGAAGTCAATTGAATTTATTCGGTGGTCTTGTTACAAGGGGCACTAGATATGTATTCTACCTAAACCATATTTTAGTGTTGTATTCTAATGAAATGAACTGTAAGCTGTTCTCACAAGCCTCCTCATGTTATGTATGCAGTTCCAGCTCAGGCCATAATGAAACTTCTGACATGGCCACGGTGGAAATCTACCTACTTGAATTGTGGGCATGAATCTTATAAATTGGGAGTATCAATCCTTTATCACTTTTCTTGCAAAGAAGGGGAGTAGATCAAAGGTATTAGGCTATGTATGCTTATGCTGCATCTTCCAAATACAAAGTGAAATACTGGCATAAGCAGCTCAAGTGTGATAATCTCTTGAAGATAACCTCGATCGTGGAAGGCCAGTAGAGTGCTCTGGAAATGCACTGGAAACTGAAGACCTGGCCCTGCAGGACAGTTATATGAATGTATTGTGATTACTTGAGAATGCATTGTGTTGGAAACATCTGTTTTGACCATTGTCGACAATCGCATAGGAATGCCAAAAGTCGGTTTTTGTTGAATTCTAAGAATGCTGACCCTGCTTCAGAAGCAGTACTGGGTTTAATTTTCTGAGGAGAATTTTGGACTTTATGAAGCAGATCCAGAAATATCAGTCTAAGTTGTTTCAGGTTGTGAAGGGTGGATCCATCATAGGGATCCTGAATCAAAACAGGTGTCTATGCAGTAGAAACGTCATGGTTCATCCACTCCAAAGAATTTTCAGACACCACCATTAGCTGGAAAGATCATGGCTATAGTGTTTTTGAATTTGAAGGGAATTTTGCACATGGACTTCATGCCACCCATAGCAGCAGTAACTGAGAATCCATAGGCTGCTGTGCTTTGGAATTTAAAGGCCATCAAAAAAAACAATAGAAGATGACTAGGAGTCTTCTTCATGTCAGTGGTTCTGTGCACAAGTTATCAAAAGCAGTCACTGCCGTAATGTACCATTGCTTTGAATAATTAGACCAGTCACCCTAAAGTATTTCTCTAGTTGAGTATTTTCTGTTCTGAAACTTGAAGAAACACTTGTGGTATTCAGTTCTCAAGTGACTGTGAAATTAAAGATTCTTGTTCAGAGTGGTTTGACGAACAATTCAGAGGTTTCATTTTTCAGGGATTTCTTCTCTGGATTGATCTCAAGGAACACTGTGTTGCAAAACAGTGAAAACACGTTTGTTCTCTCTCAGCTACTTCATGGCTAGGAATACTGTATCTAGTGTCCCTCATATATACACAACTTATTATTTGAAGTTCAGGGGAATAAAGTAGAATACCATCCCCCTTGAATCTTCAGAATAACAAAAACTGTTGTCAAAGAAAATGGCTCTTGAAGCACATAGAGCAAAGATAGTTTTGCACACATTATATTTGCAGATTCTTATGTTGATGTGTACCCACTTAATATGGACTGCATAGAGTGCCTTCTGATTCCATTTTCTTCTACAGGTTTAATAATGTTCCTGGTGGTATACTTTATGCTGCTTAGTGAAGACTACAAGTCTACTGGGAAAGTGCTGAAGTTCTTTTTTGAGTTTATACCTCACTTCACCATTACATATGCATTCACACGCTTCTCAGATCGTGTCCTCTCAAACAACCAGTGCAGACTGAAGAAATCTTATTGTAATAGCATTTCCAGCACGTTAGACATATGCTGCTGTAAGTTTTTGTATTACTTTAGTACCTTTTTTATATTGATTGTAAGTTTGCTCTGTGTCTTGATTTGTTAACTTATGGATATTACAGTATATGGAGTATGTTTCTTATTAGGCACATTGACATCCATGCCTTTTAAAGTCGCCCCATTAATCCATCCATCTGTATGCATAGAACAGCATGTGAACCACTGAATGAATTTTAATGAAATTTGATATTGAAGTCTTTAGAGATACTGATGTCAGATTTCAATTTTGGTTAAAATCAGGCAAAATAGGAACACTTTACACCCATCTCAAGTGTTCTGTGCTAAATATATATTGAAGGGAAAATTTTTTTGAATAGAAATCATAGAGAAAAATGAAACACACTATATCCAGTACCATTTTTCTGTAAGTCGTACAGTTTTAATTTTAATTAAACAAGAGGGAATGAATTCCCCAAAATTGTTATGCAAAGCATACATTTCTGAACTTGTATATTCAGCAGTCTACAGTGATCTTTAAAACAAGCACAGAGATTAGTTATCAAAGTGTCGTATTTTTTATAGTAATTAAACAGAGCTTCTTCCCACCTAAATTTATAGCTCTACATATGTATAAGTATATATTTACTTATAATTTATCATGCTACTACCTATATTATGTTATTAGAGTTTAAACTTTGCTTCCTTCTTACTTTCTTTCTGACATGTTCACGGTAAGTATTTGCAAAAATGTGGACATTACCTTCACCAATTCTGAAACCAGTGAATGGGTTTTCATGAAATTTGATACCAAGAAATTTTACTGGGTGAAAAATTCATATAGGCTTTTGGAAAACCTGAATCTAAGAGATGATTTGGAAGGTGTAGATGGGAAGATAATATTAAAATGTATCTTAAAGAAATAGGTTATCTGCGTTTACTGTATTCATTTGGTTCAGAATGGGACTCACTGAAATGCTCTTGTGAAGATGATAATGAACATATATGTTCCTCGAATGGTGGAAAATGTATTAACTATTGGAGTAACTGTAAGCTTAGCTTACTCTTATTCATGGAGTTAGCAGGCATCATCATTAATCCTTCTCCCTGATTTGTTTAATATTATGTGTATAATGTCCAGATACTTAAAAAATGACAAGTATATCATATTTCATCTCCCTAACCACCATATAAAAATTGGAATCATAAGACTAGACATGTAAGTGAAACAGTTGTGGTGTTAATTGTTTGTCATGCCTAATGTAGTAGAATGCAGTAAAATTAAACATCTCTTGCCCCACTGAACATGCATTTCCTGGATGTTGTGGTTGAATGGTTAGTGCTGCTGATATATTAATGATGTTCAAATCTTAGCCCAGAGACCAGCTATCCTGACTGAAGTTTTTGTGTCGCTGATATCTTAAAGTGAACCACTTCCTTCCAGTTCATCATTGACAGTCTTCCTACCTTGTGACCAGGAACTGTATGTTTTATATTATCTGTGTTACTACCACTGCTGTGAAGGTTTAATCTGTATTTATGCACTTTAATTGGACATTTCTGCAAAATTAAAAGTTATTTTGTTCCTTCACAGTGTTTCCTTCTTGGTTTATCATTTTCATTATTCTTTGTTCTTTGTTTCCAGCACCTGATTGCAAAGATGGCTACTGTCCTGCTATATATAAGCCCTACCTGGCATTTGCAGATAATAATAATGAAAATGCAGTTGGTGGAGAAATCCTATATATGGCAGTAGATTCATTGATCTATTTTTCCCTCATCATGCTGGTCGAATTTGGTGTATTTGGCATATTGTATGAAAAGGTTAAGAAGATAGTCATTGGTAATAAAGTAGATAAACCGTTGCTTGATGATGATGTGGTGCATGAACAAGACAGAGTTGATGGTCAGATTAAAGGTCAGTGCACACCTTTGTCACTTTCTGTCATTGCCGTATTTCCATTTGTAAAGATTTTGATTATAATGAAGCAGGAAGGAAAAAGTTGTCAGCTAGAATACTAAGTCAAGCGTAAGGAAAAAATTGTGTCCAACCTCCTATAATTTTTAACATTAAATGCAAGACTTGTGTTTATCATTGCCCCCTTTTTGTTAGTTAACCTGTATTGACAGGTCAAAACATGTGGATATTATTTAAATAAATATTAAATACCAAAACGAATTGTGTTAATGGTCCCAAATGAAGTAAAATATGGTAAGATATGCAGGTTATATCATGAAATTGTTACTGATCATGCTGCTGACATGTTTAGTTCATAATATTAATGGATCACTGTACATGAAAACAAGTGCTTCAGTTCTTTTACCAAAAGATTTCAATTAATAAAAATAAAGAATCATGGGTTAAGTTTAGACTGCATTAAAATGAATATGTGTTCTATTATTTTAATGTCATGCTCTGTTATAAAACAAATTTAAAGCATATAATAGTTTTTCTGTTTATCTAAACTAAGACGTCTCTGATAGTACAGAATATTACTTCTCTCTCACATTAGCTACATTTCCTTTTCTTATGAGTAGTTTGAAGAGAGTGAATGTTAGCATGTCATTTATCATTTTTCTACAAATCCCTGTTAAGCTTACACTATATACTTTTATAATCTTCTCATTTTTCATATGAATGTCTAGTCAAGGTATTATCATGTAGCTATCAATATTTCTTCATTTTAAACGTGCTAGATCTATTTTTCTTGTATAGTTACCACAGTAATAGAGGATTTATCTCATGTTGCAGTAGCTGCTGTGCGTCGTGACGATGATATTATGTTGGTTCATAATTTAGTAAAGAAATTCACAAGAAATTTGACAGCAGTGAAAAGTGTTAGTTTTGGTGTGGCACCTGGTGAATGTTTTGGACTGCTTGGTGTCAATGGTGCAGGCAAGACCACCATATTTAGGATGCTTACTGGTGACGAAACTCCTACTGAAGGAGAGGCATGGATTGGACAATATAGTCTCAGCAAGGATAAGTCAGAGGTAGGAGCCATTAATGTTGTTGCATGCGGTGTTTTAAACAACCATTCACTTGGTGAAATGGTAAGATTTTTATGTTCAGATTCACAAAAGGTACCTAAGCATATTACTCAGCTGCATTTTGAAATTTATGGCATCTGCTTTCCTATAAATACTTCCCTCAGAATAGAGATTCCAGTCAGATGTATAGATCAGATAGTGACAGTACCACTTCATTATATCAGCTTCTGTGTTTGAAAGGAATTCAATGGAGAATAGGGTCTTCCAGGTTTAACACAATGTAATTCAAAGGCTGCCTCTGTAGTACATTTCATTACCTCCCAGAATACTATACTCTTCGTAGTTACTGCCTTGAGAACTTCTGATTGAGAAGCTGTTAGTCATTCAGCTGGTCAAGAAGTTCCTTGTCTTTTATGTAACCCAGAGATTTGTTACCATGCTCGCAACAGCCTGTCCCTGTATCTTATCCTGAGATGCTTGAACCCAGTCCACATCCTAACACATTTTCTTTATCATCCTCTTAGCTATCTTTAGGTCTCCCGGGTAGCCCCCTTCAGGTTTACTGTCTAAAATTTTCTGCACATGTCTCATCCTCCTTGTTTTGATCATCTTATGTATATTGAAAGTATTATATGGAACAAGTTATGACACACCTCATTTTGCATTTTCCTCAAGCCTTCTCTCTCAAGATAAAATATTCTCATTAACACCCTGTTCTCAAATACCCTCAGTCTAAGTTCTTACTGTAGGTTGGGAAACCAGCTTTCATACCAGTAAAAATAAGTGGTAAAATCATATTTTAATCTCTTATGTTTTTAGGTGGATGTGGAGGATACTGGATTCAAAATTGAATGGTAGCAAACATTCCCTACATTTAATACGCTGCTCTTTGTGAATATAATATTGATTTGCTACTGTCATCCCAGAATGTTTTAATGTATCTCTGTGTAACATTTTGCAACTTTCTACTTTGATTGTGAGATGGTGTTAGGCCATCACTAACAGCCCCCTCAAATTCTGAAGCAGGATAATCACCCCTTCATGGCTGTCTGCAGCTGCTTAAGCAGTACAGTTCTGTATGGCCTTCATATGTAGGGCCGTCTCCCCCCCCCTCCATTATGCTTCACAACTCAAATGCTTAAGACACACAGCTGTAGAAAGGGAAATGCAAATATACTATGTGAAGCAAATGTATTAATGTAAGAAAAGATATCCCTTTTCTTACAGTACTCAGAGGTAATCTTTTCCCTGTGCCTCAGAATATTCACAATTCTACAAAATAAACTATTCTAATTGTGATACACAAAGTGTTTAGGATATCAGTTGTCATGTATCTAATACCCAAATGAATAAATAGTCTGCAGGATATTAACAAAAATAAGTTAACAGTTGTCAGTGACAAATCCCAGAGATCCAGCCATCAGAATTATACCATCCATTGTTATTATTACATGCAGAAAAATTAAGAGCAAGATGCCACTAGCTTACCACTGACACCATGTGATAAAAATAAGACTTGTATTCTACTCTCTGAATGGGTGAAAAATTCTCCAAACATGAAAATGAACTTCATATGATCCTTAATAGATGAATGCATGTTGTCTGATTATATATGTCATCAATTGGTTATGAATAGGAGCAAGTTAGCTTGCTTAAGATTTCGTAACATGGGTCAGTTCTTCATGGAACCAAGTGACTTTTATGATGCCCCCATAAATGAAGTTGTACATTTCATTCAAAGTGTAGGATTAATAAAGGGTTAATCCAAAGGGGAAGCGCAATAGATCATTGAAGGTCACAGTGGGAGGGCCAGATTTTAAGGCCCATCCCTTACACACATACACACATACATATGAATAGGAGCAGAAGATAGTAGCAATAAATGGTAGTGGAAAGTATGCTTGATTTGGTATTTTAGTATCCATCTCTACCAAAAAGATGTAATAGTATATCCTGGACAGTGGCAATGGTTGCTGCATATTGCTATCCTGTAAAGTTGGCAATGGTTGCTGCATATTGCTATCCTGTAAAGTTTAGTATCTTAGTTTATAAATGTAGCTGTGTTTTCAGAATTTTTCACCTATATAATGTGCATATTCAGGGAAATAAGTACATTGTGTCACCATGTCAGTTTCCTGTTGAAATTTCAGCATGCTTTATGCTAGTACAAACATGTTTATGTTAAAGGTATGAATTTTAAGAAAGGATAAAGAAATATATGCTGGATCATTAAGTTTGTGAATAATAAGGATTGGTTGATTTTTATTTAAAAACAATAGTATGCATGAAGGCAAGTGAATATGATACTGCATCTTATGGATAGTAAAGTATCTCTGTTCCACTCCACTGTAAACTTGTTCTTTATTGGCCAAGCATTGTAATTTTTTCAATACTAATACTGTTAACCTGGCTGCCGGCCTGCAGTTTTGGATTTAAAATTCACCTATTCCTGGAGAATATAATTTATTTGTATTAGTGCCTGTAATATTTCTTGTCTAGTACATGTATTTAAATTCTTCCCATACTGTAATGTCAATGTGTTTACAGTTCCTTGCACAGATTGGCTACTGCCCACAGTTTGACGCCATCAATGAAGCTCTGACAGGTCGTGAAATGCTGAAGCTTTTTGCCAGTCTTCGTGGTGTTTCCAAAAATAACATTGAATATGAAGTCAAGAAATGGATTACATTGATGGGTGAGTTGCATGATGCGACTGGTGAAGACACAGCAAACTGAAAAGACTTAACATGTGGTTTAGTGATTTGTAAAATATGGAGATCAGCAACGGTGCTGTAATTAAGTGTAGTCACAAGTCGTTTGTTAAAATGGTCAGTAAATCCAGGCACTATTCCAAACCCTACATAGAGGTGCATTCCCTCAAGTGACAGTACAAATATATCATGGTAAAATATTACAATCAAAACAATTATTCACCTTTTTCTCTGAAAAAAAGAGTACCTTTATTGTATTATTTGTTCCATTCTGCATGTGGTGTACTTTAACGTTGATATTTGCATTGTGGTCAAAGATATCCCAATCATAATGACAGCTTTACCTTTGCCACATTATTTGCTTGCATATGACAGTACCTAGATTTCTTCATTATTATCAGGTAGAGCTGGCTGAACTTCAGCATCTCATATCAAATAGCTGTATTTCTGTTAGATCCCTTTTAATAGTATCCACTCATTTATACCAAAATCTCTCAAGTAGTCATTTTCCTCCCAAAATGTTTTTGAACCAAACCTTATGGAGAAAGACGCAAGATCGAGAGCTGATTTGACTGTTCACAAATTATAACTTTTTAAAGTGTTTAGTATAATGTATAAAAATGCTAATGAACAATATTTTTAATAGGACTTCAAGAGTATGAGAACCGGAAATGTGGAACATACAGTGGTGGCAATAAACGTAAGCTGAGTACAGCCATGGCTCTGATAGGGAACCCTCCAATTGTGTTCCTGGATGAACCAACAAGTGGAGTTGATCCTGTGGCCAGGAGGAACCTGTGGACTGTACTGACATCTATCCAGAAGTCTGGCCAGTCTGTAGTACTCACTTCACACAGGTGTGTTTCATATAATAAACTCAGTGGATGCTGTCTTGAGCAGGCCCATTCCAGTATAAAATTTTTTTCAGGATCCATCTTTTAATATTATTGTTCCATCTGTATACATCTCTGTTTTGTCATTATTACACCATATTTTAAATATAATAATGACACTTAACTGTAAATTAAAACTGTTCCGCTTTTGAACTTTCCAGTTTCTTACTATCAGCATGCAGCCATGTTAACCTGCAAGGTAGGAGTGCCACTACTGGTATAAGAGCCTGTAATTTTGTGCAGTAGTAGATGTTTGAAAAATATATGACTTGTGTTATATGATCATTTTGTAAATCAATAGCATGTTAACTGGAATAGGTCAGTCGGTATAATGACAGGTTACATGCTGGACAGCCAGGGTTTGATTCTCGACAGGGGTAAGAGATTTTTCTCTACTGCATGGCAGCCAGACTGACTGGGGCATGAAGCTGACCACTCACCTCTTTATAGTGCCTAAGTTGATTCTGTATTTCAGCATCCTGTTGCAAGCCTTTAATTAAACATCTGTATATCCACGGTCTGTCAGTAATGCAACAGTTGTTTATTCACCATTTAACACTTGACACAACATGTTTTGGCCATAGGTGGCCATCTTCAAGTGTCTTAATGCATTCAAACTGTTACACTGCTCTCATGTGCGCTAAAACTGCACGTTGCAGTCCACATAAAAATAACATAAGTAATTGATTAAACTCCATTAAAATTTTCTATCAAAATTTTTTTGTAAAATCCGATTCCACCTCCAAATAAGTGGACAACGCCCCTTATGAGGTTGAATAGGATTTTATGAAAAAATGTTAATGGATTTTAGTTATATATTTACGTTATTTTTAAGTGGACTGCAACATGCAGTTTTAGCGCACATCAGAGCAGTGTAACAGTTTGAATGCATTAAAATACTTGAAGATGGCCACCTATGGCCAAAACATGTTGTGTTAAGTGTTAAATGATGAATAAAACAATTGCTGCATTATTGACGGACTATGGATACATAGATGTTTAGTCAGGAATAGCAGAGCTATACTTCCTCACCCCAGTAGGTCTTCTTGGTGTGGTGCTTAATTAATTGAGTGCAGAGACAACTTTACCATTTGTTAGCTGTGTGACATCTGTATATAACTGCCAGTTTGATAAGAGTAGCTGATGAAGCATTGGCCTGTATGAAATTTTGTAAGAAGGCAGATCATGAACAAACCTAAAAATGTTGATATTATATTCAGCAAATCTGATACAGTCAGATTTTGTATAAGTATATATTATACATATAAATATGCCATTAAAACTTTTAGTATGTGGTCCCTGTCAACCTCACTGTATAGACTGAAACATTTGATGGAAAGCATTCATCAGAAGTTCTGCCCAGAAGTTTTGTTATGCCTTATGTTGTGTAGTTTCTAAGAGGTTATGTTGGATATTTTACATACATACATACATCAGCATTTCAGAGTATTCACAAGTGTGCAACTGGCACTGAATATAAAACTAGTCAAACAACAGTCACAAGACAATCACAGATAAAATCACAGAAACATCAATTCAACCATAGTTAAAATCTAAACCGAATACCTCAAATAAATAGATACAATGTTTCACATACAATTATACCAACAAGATAATTAGCAATACATAATAATTCTCCTTCCTTAACTTACACTTACACTTAATGTCCATATTGATAATGTTATATTTTAGCGTCATGTTGCACTGATTTAAGTCCATGATTTATTTCAACCGTCTTCCAGTGCATACATTCATCTATCTCCTCCTCTCACTCGCACTACACGTTTCGGCACAAAAGTGCCATCTTCAGGTGCTTATTCGATTTACGCTAAACTAGTTCATTGCATGCCTTGTCGTCTTCATATTAAAATAACTAAAATATATATTTATCATATATATTGATAAATGTTAAATGTTAAAAATATTAAAATTGTTCAGGATTTTTCATCCCTACGTCGTATCTCACTACNGACAGAAGAGCAAAAATTCATCAACAGTATATGACGGATTATGTATTAGGACATCTCTTATTTGATTTATAAACCGTTTTTTATCATGTACTAAGTTAGATAAATATCCGGGCAGACTGTTAAATATTTATATACTCATGCAATGGACCCCTTTCTGCCTCATTGCGAGATGTGATTGTAGGACATGTAAATTTCTTTCATGTCTTGTTGGCCTCTCATAAATTGAATAATTAAAAGTAAAATACTCCAAGTTATTCATCATAAGTCATCAGAGATAAAATGTATTGAGACACCCGTGTTAATATATTTAACTTTATAAATGCTGGCCTACATGACTCTCTATGTCTCATCCCCATTATTATTCTAATAGTCCTCCTTTGTAAGAGAAAGATCTTCTTGGCCTCTGACAAATTACCCCAAAAAACTATTCCACATCTCATGAGTGAATGAAAGTATTCATGATATATCATTTTAAGTGTTTTAACATTACTGTATGGTTTCATAATTCGTATTGCATAACATGCCTTTCCCAATCTGGGTAACAGTGATTCAACCTGTGTCTTCCAATTCAAGCACTTATCAATTTCAATGCCCAAAAATTTAATATGAGTTTCCTCTTGTAATAATTCATCGTTAAACTTTAAATGTACAGGCATATTGTCACGATTGATTGTTTCAAATTTTAACCCTTTAGTTTTCCTCAAGTTTAGGGATAAGCCATTGTATTTAAACCACTGACTTAAGGAATTTAACGTACGTTTAGACGTTTCTTGAATTTCATTGATATTAATACCTGACACTAATGTAGTTGTATCATCGGCATACAACAATGACTTGTTGTCAGTACTTAATGCTGACAGCAGGTAATTAATATATAAAAGGAACAACAGAGGACATTCTTTAGTATGTAATATATGAATCTTTCACAGTGAATGAATGCTTCTAAATCTTCTTGGATTATCAGCCATGTCGATGTTGAGTTAAAAATGAAGATTTCATAGACCTCCATCATCAGGGTTGATAATCATATTGGAGACAGAGTAGATCTCCAGAACATTGTTTTAACTTGACACTGAGGCAGGTGATTGCTTGAGATGATTGTAGTGCCATCTTTAGTACTTTCTGAAATGCTTTCAGTTGCAAAATGTTTCTATTAAGATTACTGTCTTGTATATGTATTCAAAATGTATTCAAAATCTGCAACCAGGAATAATAAAGTAGTAGTACCAGAAAATAAATCTTCTTGCAGGCTCTGTTATTATTCTGTATGGACATGTTGTGTTTGCAGCATGGAGGAGTGTGAAGCACTGTGTAACAGGTTGGCCATCATGGTGGCTGGGCAGTTCGTGTGTATGGGTGGGGTCCAGTATCTGAAGCAGAAATTTGGCCAAGGCTTCACTATCATGGTGAAACTGAGAGCAGTTGAAGCTGATAAACCCATCATACGCAGATTAAAACGTGAGATCAAAGGAAATTTCAGCTCTGGTTGTGTCCTTAAGGATGAACATCAGGTAAGCATGTCAATAATTCAGACTTTCTACGTATGGTATAGCTATATCTTATATGGTTTTTATATCTGACTTTATTTCTGTTGTTAGTTTTATGAATACTACTGTGCTTAAGGCTTTCAGCATTTCTGTTTTAAATTACACAGAGCTAGCATAGCTTATTTTAGGTGGTTTTCCTCATTACTTTCAGACAAACGTCAGGATCATACCTTGCTCTTTTCTATGAATACTTTATTTCTGATCACCAAAGACCAACTATCTTTAACATGTACTCGTATTTCAAACAAATGTTAATCTTATCCCCTAACTTTTCTCTTCAGTTCTTCAGCACTGATTAAGATTTCCCTAAGTGCTTTCAGCCAAATGTCAAGGCAGTACATAGCATTTTCCATGATTGCCACAATTGTGACCAGCCAAGACCAGCTGTCTTGTCATATTTCTCTTAGTGCTTTCAAGTAAATATCAGAACAGTAGCTTTAAATTTTTTGTGAATACTTTAACCCACATCAGTCAAGAATAGCTGTCATGAGAGGTGTTTCCATGAGTGCTTCCAGAAAAATGTAAGGCTGGAATCTCATAATTTTTAGTGAATGCTTTGACAGTTACTACAAGCCGGAAAGTCGCAGGTTCAAGTCCCAATGAGGTCATTGGATTTTTTTCAATTGACCTAATCCTACCAGCTGCACTAGGCCCTGGGGTTTACTCAGCCTCTAACAGAAATGAGTACCAGGAATTAATTTAATAATTTTCCTGGGGAGTAAAGGGCAGCCAGCGCATAAGGCTGACAACCTTACTGCCATCTTTGAACCGATTGTCTAGATAGTGTGGGACTCTCAACGTCTCACAACCATATGGGCCTTCACAGCCTGTTACAGAAATAGCTTTACTTTTTTACTTTACTTTGACACTTACTCTTCATACTCCTTGTAGCACCTGTTATTGAACACTTTCAAGATAGACAAGCTTGTTTTCTGTTTTATTCCAGCCACATTTTAAGAAATCAGCTTTCAAATGAAAACAACCAAAGATCATAGCTCCTAATCTATATACAACTCTGTCCAAAAAGTATCCGACCTTGGGCCAGGAAAAAGGAGTTCTGTAACTGGGTGGCTACAATACCTAATCACCTTCAAAGTAGGCCCCTTGTGACTCCACACACTTAGCCCAGTGATCCTTCCATTGCTGGAAGCAATTCTGGAAGGCTTCTTTTGGAATGGCATGCAGCTGCGCCGTCGCTTTCTGTATGATGTCCTTGTGGCTGTCAAAACGGCAGCCATTTAGCAGTGTCTTCAATCTTGGGAACAGCCAGAAATCACAAGGAGCCATCTCAGGAGAGTAGGGAGCTTGGCGAACCTGTGGTATGCCGTGCTTGGCCAGGAAACCCTGGATCAGGTGCGATGAATGAGCTGGGGCGTTGTCATGATGCAGCTGCCAGTTGCGTGCGTCCCACAGCTCCAGTCTCTTGCACCGAACTGCATCATGAACATGGAGGACTTCTTGGTAGTACTCCTTATTGACAGTCTGGCCTAGTTGTGCGTACTCATGATGCACAACACCCCTTTAATTGAAAAAAAGAAACAGTCAGTATCACCTTCACATTGCTCCGAACCTGTCGTGCTCTTTTGGGCCTCGGGGATGTTGGATGCTTCCATTGTGATGCCTGGACCTTGGTTTCCGGGTCATATCCATACACCCACAACTCGTCACCAGTGATCACAGTCTTCAGGAACTCAGGATCCCTGTTGGCGCACTCCAGCATGTCCTGCACGATCTCAAGGCGGAGTTGTTGCTGCTCCAGCGAAAGCAGCTTGGGAACAGATTTTGCCGCCACTCCTCGCATGCCCAAATCCTCAGTTAAGATTGTGTTTGCGGAACCTCTGCTGATCCCAACCTCATCAGCAACTTCACAAATGGCCAAACAATGGTCCTCCATGATCAGTGTCCGCACTTTTTCAATGACATCAGCATTGACAGTCTCCAGGAATGCTGCTCACTGTCCGCCAACATACGGCCATGTTTAAAGCGGTTGAACCACTCCTTACTTTGAGTGACCCCCCACTGCATCATCGCCGAAAGCCTGCTGAATTTTGCGAATTGTTTCCGCTTGGGTATCCCCAAGTTTCTGACAAAACTTAATGCAGTATCGCTGCTCAAAGCATTCTGTCATCTTGAACGAAACAAGAATGTGATGAACACATGTTACACCACTTCGCTATCTGACAGCCACATACACATCCAGCAGTGTTGTGAGTCAGCAAAAAATCACGCATGCGCATGAAAGTCCCTTCTATCACTGCCCTCAGTTTCCCCACCCCTTTGGCCATAACTTACAGCGGAAAAAAATAAAGTCGGATATTTTTTGGACATACGGTAGATAATGACTGTTGGGTAGAGATATATCCAGGGAACATTTGCACTGTCACTGGTGTGCTACTGAAATATGTCTTTTCCTTAAACCACAAGGTTTGTAAACAGTCATTTGCTGTTAATTGAAACATCCTCACTAACATTATTTGCACTCAGTGTTAATTTCACTAGAGTTATGTGCATCTTGATCATAATTCCAATCTGCAAGTTGCTACTCGTTTACGGTGAGATGATATTAGGCCCTCATCAGTGCCCTCCATACATCTAGAAGCTGTCTGCCATCCCCCCCTATTGTGACTTCACTCATTTTCATTGTTTCTGCTCTTACATGCTAACTAGAGAGGAGATATTGAAATTGCTATGCATGTAGTACTCATAATTTAGTATTTTACATGAAGTGCATGTATAGAAATGGCCTGATGTCAGAGAATCTAAACATGTTGTTGTAATGAAATAAAAAATAACTATAAACAGTATTTTCTGCCAGTTGTGTAGACAGTGAAAAACTGCTATAGCACAATTACAAAGATCTCTTTAATATCTCAGTATAATTTCCATAAATAATGTTAATATAATGTAGTTAAATATTTAAGAAACCCCGTAACAGTAAGTCCCATACAATAAAGTTAAGAAGTATTACATTGTTAATTGTTTGTTTGAAATTAATACACTAAAGATAATTTTTAACAGGGTTTGCTGCACTATCATGTGACTGATCCCAGTACTCCATGGAAACATCTCTTTACAACCATGGAGTACGTGAAGCACAAGTATGATCTGGTAGAAGATTACGTTGTAAGTGAGACAACACTGGAGCAAGTATTTATATCTTTTGCAAAGTCCCAAAATGGGCAATCTGCTGGTCCCAATATTTCAATATCTGCATAGTATTTTGTAAATATCAAGTACATCAGCAGGGCTGCCATGGTTAGAAATTTTCGCTGTTATTAGGTGTGTCTAATATTATACTACTCTTAATTCTATAATCTGGGACTAGATTTTCTACAAAAGGGTATTCACAAACAGTACATGGTGCTATGTTCATGCCTAATAATGCTGCAAGTTCGACAGGTACTGAACATGTACCAGTCAGCTTTATAATACTGTTAGTTGAGATGTACAAACTCAAAACTCAAGCATATGAATGAATTGTAAGTCACGGAGGGCAGAAGTCACAGTCTCCATATATTTGCATGCAGCTACGGAGTAAAGGTGCAAATGGTATAAATTTAAATGTATTCATAAAACAGTGCATTTTTACTTGCTGAATGCCTTTCAGATATTGCCTATAAAATGTTGCCAGAAATTTTTATACAAATTTCCATTTCATTGTTTCTTTTTCTACGTGTGGTAACATTATTCAGGATATTCTTACAATTGTAGATAGGTTCACCAGATTCAGCATACCTGAAAAAAGAAAAAAGGTGCCTTATGTTTGAATTCACAGAGCTGAATAAAGGTTCAGCATGTCTTGCTTGTACTGGAGTCAGATCACTGGAAACTATAATTTGTACCTTATATGTTGAGAACAGACATTTTTAGCAGCTCATGCAATAATAATTTATTCTGTTATAATTTTCATTATACTGAGGCCACAGATGGAAGTTGCATGGATGATGGATGTGACTCTCAAGGCTTTCCACTCTTTGTCATCTGTTGTATTGCTCTCTCTCTTAGCCCTTTTGGTCTTTGTCAGCCATTCCAAAGTTCTTTAAACAGTAAAGATTGTCACTACCCTACTTTTGTCCAAACAGAAAGGCTGGATAATTAAATGGGAATATAGGGAAATATACTTGAAGGGAAAGCTAACAAACCAGAGATGTTGAGGTGGGTCAATCCATGGAACTTCTTTCCATGGCCTCAGAATAGGTGTAAAGTTAAACATGGGTTTAGGCAGCTGGTTTAACTGAGACTGATTGTTTAGACTTTTGAGCTAAAGGTGGTTTAGTTGCTGGTTCAACTGTCAACAACTTTACGATTGGAGAGTTACGTGAAAATAACTACAGGTTCTCTATTTAATCATGGGATTGAGCACCATAAAGCCAGTGGACTACTGCTTACATAGCTAACAAGGAATTAGAAAGGGAATATAGCCCACTGTTCCACTGCAGTTTAACTTGCCTTATTTTACAGGAGAGTCTCAAAGTGGCAACATGCTTCTGAGCACATCAGATATCTTGACAGAATATTCCTAGACACAAAACAAAGCTGTTTTCTTTAATTAGTAGAATTTTCTCTTTAATATTTTTCTTCTCCATTCCTGTGCTGGATGGGGGTTGTTCACTTACACTTTGTCTTTCAGAGTGCCCCATAAGTAAAAGTTATATAAATTTAAAGCTAGACATTGTGGGGGCCATAATCCACAACATATCTGTCTCTCAAATAAGTCTGCCAGATCCATCATAGAAATTTGAACATTGTTGGTTGTTGCATTGCCCTGCATAAAGTACCTGTACTCAGTCTGTTCTTTAGTCAGCTCCATTGCAGAAGGATGCTATAATCGGTGTAATATTACATTTGGAGTTAATTGTTTCATCAAAAACTGCAGGCCCTTCTGTTCTCTGTACACTGACTGCAGACCAGTTCTGCACCTTATGTATAATTCCAAGTGACTTCATGGACTGCATGCAGTTTTTTGCACTGAAGAGCAGATGTGTTGATTTTATACGGCCACTTGCAGTAATCCATATAAATTGCAGCTGGAAAGGACCACTGAAACCACCTGCAGTAACAGGTTCATGTGTACAGATGATTTTATGGAGCCATATTTCTGTTGTGATATGAACATGCTTGATACACTACACTACACCACATCGGAGATCTAAATGACAGAAGTGTTCCTTTGGACTAGGTTTTAGTCATGCACCAGTGTTATCCAATTTATTTATGGGATTTTTGTGTGTGTGTTCCCCCACCCCACCCCCAATCCAGCACCAAATCTGTTGCACAAAACTTTTCTGCTGTTCTGTATTGCTACACTGTAAAACTAGGATATTTTCAGCTGAACTGCAGTGACCTTCTTACATAGTAAATGCTTTACAAAATCATTCTATAAATTCATCAATACTAAACTGCATTTGACCACTATGCAAAAACATTACATTGAATACAGCTGTGTCAGCTGTGCAGTGATCAAGTGGCTTTGGAAAAAGGAAGTTCTTGACTAATGCTTCTCAGACATTTCAGGATATTCTTACAAAATTAAGATAGAGATCTTGTAGAGTAAGAAGGTTAAAAGTGTTTGTTTCCTGTATTAATACTCAAGTCCAAGAGGCCTTTCTTTTAAAAATATGTTTTATAAATTAGAGAAGGGAGTAAATAAGTCACATATGGCTGTGCCATAGCTCAAGCGGTTAGTCGCTGGCTTCCCACTGCGGCGGCCTAGGTTCGATCCCGGGTCTGGTCAAGTGGGATTTGTGGTGGACAAAGTGGCGCTGGAGCAGGTTTTCTCCAAGTACTTCATTTTCCCCTGCCAATTTTCATTCCGCCAAATTCTCCATCATCATAATCACCCGGGGCAATCAATGGCTAACGTGCCAAGTGGACCCAGCTGGACTCCACCCCCCACTAAACAAAAAAAATAAGTCACATATTTGTTGTGTTATACAATGCAGTATTTACATTTTCAATTTTTTATTCATGTAATTCATCACTTTTTAATACGTAATAGTGCTCACAGATTTCCTCCTTCTCTTATACTTCTTTCAGGTTGCTTTAAAAAATGTTAATTTTTATTTTGGAGTATTTTGAACAAATAATAGCACTGCAGTACCCATTATGTTGGAAACATCTTTCTAACCATATTAGATCTGAATATAATAGAAAAAATAGAGTACTTTGTAAGATAAAATCATTTTATGAAATATATTAAGTTTTCAGTTTTTTAATTTATAAGTGATTTAACAGTTAAGTCTTACTTTTAGAATATCTAAATGGCGGGCATTTGTACAATTTCAGTATATTTTTATGCTATGAATGTTCATGAATTCTTTATATCTTCATCATCCTACAATAGCAAATACAATATCACCACATCTTTTGTAAGCATTTTTGTTGTTTATGCAGTTTGATGTAAGTAGAATGTATCTAATATTCCTCACATTAAAGTCATTAAAAATACTGATTATGTTGTAGATGAATCATTCTTAATTTAGTGTTAATGAATTATGTCCTAAGTAATGATTTTTTAATCATTACAGTGTACATAAGCACAGGAAAATTAAACTTGAGCACCAAAATTCTGGACAACATCGGTGTCCATGTAAGAAAATGGACATGTTCCATAATGAAATTCTTTAAATCTCATCATAATCTTCATTTGAGGCTGAATGCTGAAACTGAAGTTATAAACAATTAAACAACATGTAGCCACTATATATTCATTTACTCTTTATCATGAACTTCTCATCTCCTTACCATGAGGGACTGTTTGTAAAAAAGTTTGGTGTTTGGTGGAAGCATGATTAGACCACTTATTCCTATTCATATGGAATTGCAATTTATGTAATGTGGTGTTCTGCCTAAACGCCAAAATATGTGACTCAGAGAAGGCATCCATTGTTAGGCAACGGCTCGGTATCCACAGTTCCACATCGTCTGGTTGACAATTAAACTGTTCACGCAACAACGCATATATAACAGACCATTACTGTGGAAATGAAAACCAGGACTAATGCAGTTCCCACGGTAATGAGGACTTATCCTACCGGCGCATAGAACACGTGAAACAGAACCCTTGAACAAGGTGTCTTCTAGGCTGTCCATCTGTCAGTTATAACAAACCAGGACACAGAAGTGAGAAGAGTGTTCTGTAGTCAGAATTGCAGCCAGCTGTAGTATGCAGAGTTGAAGGCAGGGCTCAGAAGTGAAGTACAAGAGAACACAGAAAGTGTGTGAACTGTTATAATTGAGTGTAAATGTGTAGTAATGTCCAGTAAACACAACGATCGAAACTAAGAATCCAAAATTATTTGCCTCGGAACCCGGACACGTGGCAATATGTTAAGCCCTGGTTCAGCTGCCTCACTTGTCTAGGATATTACAAATATTTTCCTCAGTCAAAACATTGTCATCAAGTGTGTGTTTCTAAAGCAGTTAGCGTCAGACCCTTCTGTGTGCTGTTCCAAACTGAGACAGCATACCATAAATACCTAGCTTTGGGTATGAACTTCGCAAGATATGATATGACCATTCAATATTTCTTGTAACTATTCTGATTCATATCTCAGAATAAGTGTGACTGACAAAATAACCAGGCAGTGTAAATAAGAGAATCCAAATAACATTGACCTCAGTTCTTAAAATAAAACTTTCCAAAGGTTTGCTCATTTAGTCACATCCAATATTGGCAAGACCTGTTCATTAAAGAAACAGTGGAGTGCCTGAACTCACCGTTCACAGTTGTTTTGAAGTTCAGATTATTGTGGGAATTAAGAAAT